TTGCTTAGTGGTTGGAATTAGTTAAGACCCAGATATAAGTCCAGCTCTGACACCTGCTGTGGAACATTGCTTTCTCTAAGCCTCAACTTTCTCACTGGAAAATGGGTATAACAATAGCTTCCATCTCATAGGGTTATTGGAAGGACTGTTGTTGTTGTTGTTGTTATGTGCCCTCAAGTCAGACCCGACTCATAGCAACCCCTCCTTGGGTTTCCGAGGCAGTATCACTATGGAAGTAGATTGCTCCATCTTCCTTCTGAGGAGTGGCTGGTGGGTATGAACTGCCAGCCTTCTGGTTAGCAGTCAAGTGCCTTAGGCACTACGCTACCAGAGCTCCTTTGGAAGGACTAGATGAGCCAAAAGCCATTGGCACAGTGCCTGACACATAGTAAGCAATCAATAATCTCGATAATAATACATTAATTATATTTGTTATCATCATCATAATCACCACCATTGTGTGCTATAAAAAAAGAAAGAATGCCAAATCAGGCAGAAAATGCCATCATGTTGGGTTGCTGGTGGCAGAGAGAATGCATGCATAGGTTCTTATGGGCGATGGGTGGAGAGCAGAGAGAGAGAGACAGACATGGTTTGATTCTTGGCAAGTCTTTTTCGGTGCTTTTGGTGTGTGTGTGCTAACAGAGTTGATCCTGGATTTAGATTTTCCTAAGAGACAGAGTCATCAGTTCATCATTCAAAAAATTGTGCTAGGCAGGGAGATTCATCTTGGCTCTTTTATTTCTAGGGTCTTTTACTTATTGAGAAGATGATCTTACAACAACATGGAAAGAATTTTTAAAAAAATAAATCACCGTAATCCCAATACCCACTGGGTTCATGTTTTGGTGGTTGTTGTCACACCATCCCTGATTTTTACATAGATATAGACATTTGATTTATTGTATCATAAACTTTTTTTTTTCTTGTTGCCACATAGTCTTCATTAATGATATTTTATGATGATATGACAGTTTCATCCAGGGGATTCACCAGTCCCTACTAAGCCATCTCATAGTTTTGCACTGCAACTTCTTCGTGAATATCAGTTTTTGCATCTGCTGATTTATATCCTTAGGATATATCCCCTGCAGTAGGAATTCTCAGTCAAAGGATAGGAATGTCTTTACCGCATTATTTGCAGCATTTTACAGAAATAAATCCTTACAGACCTTTTGTGTGTGTCAATCTATATTTCATCAAAATGAAACCGTTTAAGGAGGTGATCTAACATCTGGTGAAGTGTTCCAGACTAATGTGGCAACAGATCATTAATCAATTTACCATCTGACCATGTGCTGCTTTTTGGAAAACCACTATTTTCCCTGATTAGTTTTTCCTCCACTCTTACCACCCCTCCTCCAAAACTTCAAGTTCTCTTTCTCTGTACTTCTGGAAGGAACTCCCCCAAAGTCTCTGGTCTTTTCTCAGAAACTCATCCTCTATTTACTTTTGGAGTCAAGACTTGTTTGCATATGTAAAACCAGGACCATATTGTTTGCAGATGCTCCTCAGGGTGCTGCCAGATAATCAGATTTTAAAAGTTGAGGCTTTTAAATCATTTTTACAAACCTGGACTCAAAAGAATTAAAACAACAAAGAAAAAGCATGAGTTTGAGGATTGTGGGATTGGGTTTCTAATTCACTTTGTGTTCATAGTAATGACATTTCAAATCCACAGAAAGTTAGAAGCCTGAAGGTGGGGGGAGGGTCGAGGGATAGGAGATGAAACTTTACAGATTCATCTTCTAATCTAGGAAAAAAAATGCATACAAGAAGTTAGAATAGATGACATCATAAAGACTCAAAGACCAGTGGCTAGAAAGGACATCATGTTTGGTAAAGTGGAGAGTGAGCAAAAGGGAGGGAGACCCTTGACTGAGATGGATGACAGACACAATAGCTGTCACAAAGGGCTCAAACATACCAAAGATCATGAAGATGGTAAAAGGACCTGGCTGGGAGCTCTGGTGGTGTAGTGCCTAAGGCATTTGACTGCTAACCAGAAGGCTGGAAGTTCAAACCCACCAGCCACTCCTCGGAAGGAAGACTAGGCAGTCTACTTCCATAGTGATACTGCCTTGGAAAGCCAAGGAGGGGTCGCTATGAGTAGAAATCGACTGGGCAGCAGTGAGTTTGGTTTTGTTTTTGGCATTTAATACTTCCTTCTGTTATACATAAGGTCACTATGAATTAGAGCCTACTGGAGAGCAACTACCACCACCACCTAGCATTAACAGTAAATTTCTTGCCTCATCAATAGTTTCCTGTTTGGCTCTTACAACTTAAAAACCAAAAACAACCAGTTGCCATGAAGTCCATTCCTACTTATGGTGACCCCATCTGTGTCACAGTAGAATGGTGCCCATAGCATTTTCAATGGCTGATTTTTCCAATGGATTGTCAGGCTTTTCTTCCAAGTTGCCTCTGAGTGGATCCAAACCACCAACCTTTCAGTTACCTGAGAGTACCCTTTGCACTATCCAGGGACATTTTAAGATAAGAGTAGGTTAAAAGTAATTGTGTTTCCTATCAGTATTTGATAACCAAGAATGGCCCAGGTGTGATAGCAGTTGTTAAAAGTGCATTGTTTTTAGGATTAAATCCTTTTCTTTAAAAAGAGAGAGAGAGAGAGAATTGGTGTGGCAGTTCCTTTTATTTATTATATCTAGCATTGAAAAAAAAAAAAAAAAAATGAGAGTTTCAAGCATAAACTAAATGGCTTAAACTAGAAGTCTGGATCCTTTTCCCAAAGTAAATGTTGAAATCTTTGATGGTATCGGCACAGTACAACATACAATGGAGGACAAGTGACTCCTGAAACTCCACTCAAGCCTGCATTTGCAGACAGCTTTTGCAGCATCCCCCCTCCATGGGTGTGGCTGAGTGCAGGAGCCTGGGCCCTAGGGCAAAAACTTCTGCCCCTCCCCAGGCTCCATGCTTTGGCCCTGGCTCTGGGGCACCTCCCACCTGGCCCAGAGTGGACTTTGTGCACAGCCTGGAACCCAGACTTCAGAGCTGCCACCTCCAGCTGCCGTGGCCCCCCACTGGGTGAAATGGTACCAGTACCACACAGGCAAGAGCAGAACTCCACTTGCCCCTGTTGTTGTTGTTGTTATGTGCCGTCGAGTTGGCCCCGACTCATAGCGACCCCTCCTTGGGTTTCCGAGGCAGTATCACTACGGAAGTAGGATTGCCCAACCTTCACTCCTCGGAAGGAAGATTGGGCAATCCTACTTCCGTAGTGATACTGCCTCAGAAACTCAGGGAGGGGTTGCTATGAGTTTTTATTCCTAGAGAAAGGTTACTATTTTGTGTATCCTTGTCAGGATTCGAGTCCTGGCTAGATAGGGGATTATGGCTTTAAACCTAGATTTGGGATTTGGGACTAATTACTTCTTTTTACCAAGCCTGTGTCCTCTCATCTGTGACTGGAGGGAAAGTTGTTCAGGCCTCTCAGGTAGCTGTATGGTCAAATCAGGCAGTTCTGCTCATGCAAGAGGTGTACCTGGAAGTTATCATCATTGTGTAGCTATGACTTTTGACTCCTATTTCTGTGGCAATTCATTTCCCTTCACCCACACCTAGCACAGGACTGGGCATGTATAGAGATTCTAGTTAGGTTGTACTGAACCAAATTTTTTGAGGCCAAAGATCTCAGTGGTGAGAAGGAAGGGAAATGTTTTCCTCAGGGTAGGTTAGGCCTTGCTATCAGGTGAGCACCATGGGCTGGGAGGGGCTTCTTGGGTACCTGGGTTGGGAGGGTCAGGGTCTCCCTCTCAGCCTTCCTTTCTTCATAGTGACTTCATGGCTTTCCTTGGTTTGTAGGATGCTCTTTCTGTTGTTGTTAACTCTGGGTATTATAGTCGAAAATATTGTGTGTTAGTTAAGGTTGTCAACTTGGCTGGGCCTGGTTGAGTGGCTGGGCAGCTGGATGTAGTTATTCCCCATGATGGGATTGGCAATCAATTCCATGGTGGAATCTACTGGAGCAGCTGAGTAACTGCTTTGGGAATGTAGTCTGCTTCCTGTATATAAGGAGCAGCATTGAGGAAGGTCTCCTGCCTTTTGGCACACTTGAACCCTGCATGTAGCCAAGTCATTGTTCAACAGCCTGCCATGCCTTGCTGATCTTGGGATTTCTTCTGGACTTGAATTAGTGTGCCTTTTTACTTATTGACCTTGGGTTTGTCAGCCTCAGTAGCCAGCAGCTGCCTGAGTAAAGAGATGCCTCTAGCTTCAGTGGGCTGGGAGCAAGGGGCAGAGCTGAAGCCCAAGGTTGAGGGGCGTTCACCCAACCCCTAGAGCTTGGCACTTTGAACTTGGACTTGTAGCCTCTAAAACTGTAAGAGAATAAACTCCTGTTTGTTAAAGCCATCCCATTTGTGGTCTATTCCTGTCAGAGTGGTACTAGGTAACCAGAACATATTATAACAAAGCAGACACCCACCACCTTCTTTCCAGGGCCTGCCCAATAATCGTTCAATTTTTGTTGTTGTTGTTTCTCCTCTCATTCTAAATTGCCTATAGAATTTAATGAACTTTAAAAAGCTGTTCTAAAAACAACACTACCACTGCCAATCCATCACATGTTTGTTTTTTGTTGGTTTTTTCACTTTTAATACTCTCTAGAAAATATGTTTGGTAAAGGAGAAGGTCAGCAAAAAGGAAAAAAGCCCTCAGTGAGATGGAGTGACACAAGAGACAGAAAAAAAAATATACAAAATACTCAAGATCATGAAGGTGGCGCAGGACTGGACAACGTTTTGTTCTGTTATGAATAAGTTTATACATAAGGTTATAATATGGTCATGTTATATGTTATATGTTATATAATTATATGTTATGCATATGTTATATATTATATGTACTTTATGTTGCATAATATGTTATACATAAGGTTGCCATGAGCTGACTCAACAACAGCTAATGAACACCACCATCACTACCACTTTCTTCTCTGAAACTCGCCCTTATTTTATTTTTTCTTCCTTGTTCAGAAATTGGATGGATTAGCCAAGCCACGGAGGGTTCGAGACGCTCCATCTGAGTGCATCTGCCCCCCAGGTATGTGGACGCTTACTCCTTACTGGGTCCTATCTCCACCAGCCTGGCCCTTCTCTGTGCTGTGTGCTCACATCTGTTTTTGGCAGCCGACTCTGCTGAGGATGTGGTTAAGAGGCTTGCATTGTGTTTCATACTGCTGTACCTTGTGGGTCGTTCTAAGGTCTTTCTATTTAGTCTTCCCTGGCAGATTCACTGGTCAGTAGTTTCAACAGAATGAATTGACTTGGTTGGTAAAGACAGTGGTGTTTGTATAGGGACTAAAAAGCTGTTAGAAATGGCTTTTAATAAAAGCTTAGATTATAGGGAAGTAGCAGCTGCCCCATTTTAAAGGTGGAGAAACTGAGGTCTGAATCTCTGGGAGACATCATTCACATGGCATTAACATTGTGCATCTAGCTCTATTTCAGGTGTGGAGAGGATTAAAAAAAATCTGGTGAATGTAGCTTTGTTTTGCTTTGTTATCATTTCCTTTGGTGGAGGTAGAGAGAGGGAGCAGGAAACAAAGCCGGAATTATTCAAATAATCATTGTCTTTCTTTGGTTGTGCTGGTATAGAAAAGGATAACTGGAATTAAACCAGGATGTGTTCACTCCTAATCCATGTGCCTCGAATCCAAATTCAAATCAAAGTGTAATGCCTAAGGCATTTAACTGCTAACCAGAAGGCTGTTGGTTCAAACCCACCAGCCAATCCTCAGAAGGAAGGCTGGGCAATCTACTTCCATAGTGATACCACCCCAGAAACCCAAGGAGGGGTTGCTATGAGTCGGGTCTGACTCAACGGTACATAACAACAACAACAGCCAGAATGTATAGATCTTCTAGATGTCCATTCCACATGGAAGCTTTGTGCAGCCATGACTGAGAATCCAGGTGTCACCTCAGCTGAGTATTTTCAGGGTTGGAATTATTCTTTCAGTGGAAAATCTGTAGTATTTCTCAGACATCCCAACAGGTTGGACAAGGTGACTTTATTGGTTCAGAGAACACGGTAGCTGAGTGCAATGGCTCTCGTCCTCACTAATGCTAACTGCATTTCCCAATCTACTAGTCCAGAAACCAAACTCATGGATAATTATTTTCTCAAGGCTGGGAGATTCCAGCAAAGGTGGATCTCATGTGCATCAGAGAAAAGTCAGTCTCTGAAAATATGTGCCACCAGAGGCTTTGTGATTAAAGATCTCTCATCTGAGACCCTGGCCAGCCTGGGGCTGAGCTCTGAATCAGGGAGCTGCCTGCAGGAGAACTGTGGTCAGTCCAGGGCCAGCCTGGGGTCGAAGTGACCAATTGTGTTTAAGCATATTTTCTCCTCTATGTCCTACCTTCCTGCCAAGAGGGATTGGCAAACAGATGTTCATTGCAGCATTATTCACAATGCCAACAGATGGAAACAACTGAAGTGCCTATCAACAGATGAATGGATGAGCAAAATGTGGTATATCATACAATGGAATATTATTAGCCATAAAGAGAAACAGAGTCTCAATGCATGCTACGACATGGTTGAACATAATGAAAACATTATGCTGAGTGGAATAAGTTAGACACAAAAGGACAAATATATAATCCCACTTATGTAAAATATCTAGAATAGGCAAATGTGTAGAGACCAAAGTTTATTAGTGGCTACCAGAGTGTGTGGGAGCTCTGGTGATGTAGTCCCTAAGGCATTTGACTGCTAACAAGAAGGCTGGTGGTTCAAACCCACCAGCCGCTCCTCGGAAGGAAAATTGGGCAATCTACTTTCACAGAGACACTGATTCAGAAACCCAAGGAGGGGTCACTATGAGTCAAATCGATTCAAGGGCAGTGAGTTAAGTTTACTTTTCATTTTCTTTTTCTTTTACCAGAGTGTGTGGGAGGGAGGGAAAAAGGGGGACTCACCTCTTAGAGGACACTGAGCTGTTAAGGGTGATAGGCAATTTAGGAAAATTTGAATATAAATAATGATGATATTGGAAAACATGATAAACATAATTAATGTCACTGAATTGTATACTTGCAGAATATTGAAGTGGCAAATGAATTGTTGCACATATAATGCCACACATACAAATAGAAGGAGGAATGGAGGAGATAGGGTCAGTGGGTGCCAGAGCATGGAGGATCCTTTGTTCAGCAGTTCTCAGTCAATACTGTTTTCAGGAAGGAGAATTTCCCCACTAGGAAAGGGCTTGTTTTGTTGTTTTATAATGGATTTAATTTAGCATTAAAAACAAACTATTGTGGTAAAATATATATAATGAAAAAATTTGTCATTTTCACCATTTTAAGTGCACAATTCAATGACAGTTGCATTCATCATGTCGTGAACCATCACTGCTCTCCATATCCAAAGTCTCCCATCACCTCAAACAGAAACTCAACATCCCTCAGCCATTTCCCATTTCCCCACCCCCCTAGGCAACCACCAATAAATTCTTGTCTCTATGCATTTATCTATTCTAGATATTTCATATAGGTGGGATCACACAATGATTGTCCCTTTGTGTCTGTTTTTTTCACTCAGCCTAAAGTTGGTTCATCTAGGTGATAGCATGTATCAGAACTTCATTTATCTTTACGACCAAATAACATTCCATTGTATGTATGTACCACATTCAGTTTATCCATTCATCACTTGAAGAACATTCAGGCTGTTTCCACCTTTTGGCTACTGTGAATAGTGCTGCAGGGAACGTTGGTGTATAAGTATCTGTTTGAGTGCATACTTTCAATTCTTTTGGAGTATAAACCTAGGAATTGAATTGAATCTAATATTTTTAATTATATAATATCTCAAACACATAGGAAAGTGGAGAAAAGAATAAAACAGATAGCAGTGTACCTTCCAACCACCCTACAGACCTTGCCCCCTCATCCTCAGTGTCACAGAGGTGACCACTGTGTATCATTCTCATGCTTGCTTTTGTACTTTTCCTCTTATCATTAACAAAACAAAACAAAAAAACCCAACACTGTTGTTGAGTTGATTTCAACAGCATAGAACTGCCCCATAGGGTTTCCAAGACTGTAAATCTTTATGGAAGCAGACTGCCATATCTTTCTCCTCCTGAAGAGCAGCTCGTGGGTTCATACTGCCAGCCTTTTGGTTAACAGCTGATCACTTAACCACCGCACCACACCAGGGCTCCTCCACACACATCATAAGGAACTTTGTGTTTATTGGTCCTTGAGTGTATGGAAGTGGGTTCATCATAATTGGTTAATGGCACACTTATATCATTGGCCATTTATGTATTTAACTTCATTTTATGTATTTGCAGTAATGTATGTAGCACCCATGAAGCCATCACCCATACCCAAAGTCAGGGTCTTGACAGTGATTCCATTAGCTCTGGTTCACCCAGCTCTCACTCTGCCTCCCCCCAGTTCCTCCTGCATGGGTCATTCCCTTGCTTTTCTTTTCATGTAATACCACATGTCCTTGCATGGATTTTAAACTGAGTTGCATTGAACTTGATGAAACTTAGTATCATGTCCTTCTTAAATCTTTTCAGGACTAGCTTTTTTCCTCTTAATATTATATTGTTAAGACTCATCTGTATTATTGCCTGTCTCTGTAGACACTCATTTTGACCACTGGACAGTAATCTATCACATGACTCTACTCCAGTTTTTTTCATCCACTCTCTGGTTGGTGGGTATTTTTGCCATTTTGAGGGAGTTTTGCTTTCACAGTGTGGCTGTGAGCACTCTTGTCCACAGCTCCTGGGGTGTCTGCATGCACATGCCATTCCCCTGCCTGGAGCATTCTTCCTGCCTCAGCTATCAGACACAGTGCCGCTCACCCTGCAAGAAGCCTGCCCTCTTCCCCAGGCTGTTGGTGGCTCCCTCTCTTCTGCTTCTGTAGTACTTTGATCACGTATCTGTTCTAATCCTTATTCATGTGTCTGCTGTGCCTGGCAGGTAAGTATGTCCTTCTTGAGGACGAGGGCCAGGCCTTATGTATTTTGGCATTGGAGGACATGTTGGATCCATCCTCAGGGATCCAGAAAACACCTAATATAGTCTCCTGACATCAAGGATCTCACCTTGCAGTTGAAGACAGAGAAGACACAGGAGACAGACAGAGACAGACGGTGCACAGACAAATGACTAGCACCACTCCTAACTATTAAAAACAAAAGAAAAGAAAAAAAAACCCACGTGCTGTCAAGTAGACTCCAACTCATGGCAACTCCATATATGTCAGAGTAGAACTGTGCTCCATGGAGTTTTCAGTGGCTGCATTTTCAAAAGTAGATCACCAGGCCTCTCTTCCAAGGCACCTCTGGATGGACTTGAACCTCTGATCCTTTGGTTAGCTGCCAAGCAAATTAACTGTTTGCACCACCTAGGGACTCCCCAGGAGCTCTGGTAGCATAGTGCCTAAGGCACTTGACTGCTAACCAGAAGGTTGGTGGTTCAAACCCACCAGCCATTCCTCAGAAGGAAGGTTGGGCAATCTACTTCTGTAGTGATACTGCCTCGGAAACCCAAGGAGGGGTCGCTATGAGTTGGGTCCGACTGGACAGCACATAACAACAACAACAACAGGGACTCCCCTAAACATGAAGGTGTTTGAAAACTGGGAGAAGTTTTTAAAACAGGGCAAAGCTTGAGCTGGCTTTTGATAGACCCTCTAGAGTTCTCAAAAGGAGGAAGAAGGGTGTAAGAAGTAATGAAGTTGTTAGCTCAGGAAGTCAGAAGCTGCAGTTACCAAGCAGATAAAGATTCGATCCACAAATGAATTTTAGGATAGTCTGCAAAGTTTGCAAAATGGTATCATTCTGTGTCTGATAGTTTCCTCTTTTTTTCTTCTTTTTGAGTGTTGCATGATTATAAATTCATATGCAGTATGTGAATAAGTGTTTTTCAACAGGTTTTATCAAACCCATTGATGGACTATAAAATCAATTTAGTGAGTTATAACCAGTATTTAACAGTTCTGAAGAATCAGCTAGAATAAAAAAACACTGGAATAAAATTTTTGTTTTAGGCATTTAGATTTTTTTGTGT